GGTCTAACTATCACCTTTCCGCTACTCATTTGTTTGTGCCAGGACCCTCAGACGGGCAGACTATTGGGATCGGCGTAAGCAGGGACGTCTCTATGAGCTCATTCACCTTCATGTTCCTGACTTTCCTCAGATCGCTGCTCCTGCATCTGCTTCTTCATTATCTCCTTTTCATCTTTGGCATTGTCGCTTAGGGCATATTTCTATTAATCGCTTAAAGTCTTTGGTTTCTAGTGGACAATTGGTCATGTCATTCCAGATACTTCGATTGTTATACCCTGTCAACTTGCCAAAAACCTGCTTTATCATTCAATAAAGTACTTTCTGTTTCCTGTGCACCTTTTGATCTTATACATTCGATATTTGGGGCCTCCCCCTACTACTACTATGGGGAATCTCGTTATTTTGTTGTTTTTATTGATGATTTTTCACGATTTACTTGGATTTTTCTCATGAAAACTCGGTCTTGAACTCAAAACCCTTTATTATCGATTCCTCAAATGATCCACACCCAATTTTCCAAAAACATCAAACTTTTTCGCTTCGACAATGCTATGGATATCGGGATTCAGATTTCCTTTCTTTTCTTCAGAGTCATGGTACACTGCTCATCGTTCCTGTGCTGGCACGTCCCAGCAAAATGCCGTGCTGGACGGAAACATTAGAACATATCTTGACACTACTCGACTCCTCCTTCTCTCTTCTTCCTGCCCTGAAAGCTTTTGGGGGAAGCTGCCCTCACTGCTGTCTACACTATCAATTGTGCTCCTTCCCCTGTCATCCATAAATCTCAAACTCCCTTTGAACGTCTGCATGGCACTCCTCCACCCTATACTAATCTTCGGGTTTTGGCTCTGCCTGTTTGTTCTCCTTCAATCTCATGAACGCACAAGCTTGAACCTCGTTCTCGTCTTTGTTGCTTTCTTGGGTATGGAATTGAACATAAAGGTTTTCGCTGTTGGGACCCTCTCTCTAAACGTCTTCGTATCTCCCGCATGTCGTCTTTTGAGCACCAAATGTTTTCCTCCCTATCCTCCTTTCACTTACCTGTACTTTCCTCTACTGTACTGTTTACTAATCCTTCCATAGATCTCTTTCTCGATTTTGATAACAGGTTCCTCCTTCATTGAGAGCCCTTGCTTACTCCTGCTCCCGACCAGACTGCTCTCCCTGAAGGTCCACATCTCTCTGCACACCTTCTTCTCCACCGGTTCTTCCTCCACCGATCCTCCTGCGGGTCGGGACCAACCGGGTAACCAACCTCCTATCCACCTTTCGTGATTATATGTTGATCTGCTGCCCTTTTTCTACTTAGACCTCCTCCTATATGTGCTTTACAATCCTTCTTGGCAGGCAAGCTAGTATCTGATGGAACTTCAACGTTTGCGACAAAAACTCATACTTGGTGATCTTGTGATCATTCCTCCTGCAAAACTCGATTGGCGCAAATGGCGTTTACAAAAATCAAGACCCACTCTATGCTCTATTAACGCTTACAAAGCTCGTCTGTTACCAATTGGGTTTCAACCAAGGAAATATGGGATTGATTATGGAGAAACCTTTCTCTCTTGTTGGCTCGGCTTGAACCTCTGTTCGCAGTTTACTGGCTGTTGCTGCTGCTGTGCCACTGGCAGCTCTTTTCAAATGGATGTCACAAATGCCTTCCTCAATGTGGTTTAATCTTCTTGAGGAGGTCTACATGCAACCTCCACCTGGGTCTACTTTTTCCCCCTCATAAAGGGTTTTGCAAACTACAGCGTCGCCCTTTATGGCCTCAGCAAGCCACCCCGCGCTCGGTTTGCTAAGTTCAGCTCTTACCATTCATGGACTTCGGGTTCAACCTCTAGCTCTACGACTCTGCTCTTTTTATAACTACCCCTCATTTGGTATCACTCTTCTCCTTTCTGTATGTGGATGATATGATTATCACTGGAATGATCTGCAACTGGTATTCTCCACCTCAAACGTTTTCATCCACCGTCAGTTTGAGATGAAGGGACTTGGTACTCTCAACTTATTTTTTAGGCCTTGAAGTCTCTCATGATTTCTACTGGCTCTTTATTTTTATCTCAGGCCAAATATGCATCCGATCTTTCTGGCTCGTGCTGGTCTTACTGATTGCAAAACGTACATCTAACTTCCAGTTACATCCTCAGATTCTCTCACTGCCTCTCGATGGGGCTCTTCCTTCACTGTATGCTACTTCTTTTTAATCGCCAGCTCGTCGGCAGAGTAGTTGAAAGGCCATGAACAGAGTGCCTTTTGAAAGGTAATCGAAGCGGATGTGGATAGAGCAGTTCATAGTGAGGGAGGCGGAGGAGCCGACATGTACTGACTAACAATGTGGAACAGCATAGGCAATGTCAGGACGCGTCACGTGAGATAGACAAGGCTGCGACGATGCTGGCGAATAAAGAGTAGCATCAGTGAGGAGAGCCCATCGAGAGGAGTGAACAGACGAATCTGAGGGATCTAACTGGATAGATGTAGTTTTGCAATCAGTAAGACCAGCACGAGCCAGAGATCGGATGCATATTTGGCCTGAGATAAATAAGAGCCAGTTTTAGATATTCATGAGAAGACTTCAAGGCCAAAAAATAGTTTGAGAGTACCAAGGTTCCTTCATCTTCAACTTGACGGTGGAGAAAACGTTTGAGGTGCGAGAAATACCAGTTGCATCAATTACCAGTGATAATCATATCATCACATACAGAAGGAAGAAGAGGTGTACCATGAGGGGTAGTCCGTTATAAAAGAGCAGAGTCGTAGGACTGAAGGTTTGAACCCGAAAAGTCGACATGAATGGTAGACTGAACTTTGCAAACCAAGCGGCGGGGTGCTTGCTTTGAGGCCATAAAGGGTGCCGCTGTAGTTTGCAAACTTTATGAGGGGAAAATAGACCCAGGTGGAGGTGCATGTAACCTCCTTCAGAAGATTACCATTGAGGAAGGCATTTTGACATCATTTTGAAAGAGCTGCCAGTGGCAAGCAGCAGCAACAAGCAGTAAACTGCGTCAACAGAGGGTAAGGCGAGCAACAAAGAGAGAAGGTTTCCTCATAATCAATCCCATATTCTGGTTGGAAAACCCTTCGTAACAAGACGAGCTTTTTGTAGCGTTCAATAGAGCCATCAGAGTGGTCTTGATTTTGTAAACCCAATTTGCAGCCAATCGCAGTTATTGCCAGGGAGGAAGATCAACAAGATCCCAAGTATGAGTTTTGTCCAAAGCTTGAAGTTTCATCAAGTCATAGCTTGCTGCAAGAGGATTAGACAAGCCTCACGGATAGGAGGAGGCTCATAAGCTAGTAAGAAAAGCCAGCAGATTCCAAAATATTAATCACGAAGGTGGATAGGGAGGTTGAGTACCCGGTGTGGTCGACCCGCAGGAGGATCGGTGGGAGGAAGAACCGGTGAGGAAGAAGGCGGTGCAGAGAGATGTGACCTTCAGGAGACAGTCTGGTCGGGGCAGGAGCTAAGCAAGGGGTCTAAATGAAGGAGGAACTGTATCAAAATCATCAGAGAAGGAGATCTTATGGAAGGATTTAGTAACAGTACAGATAGAGGAAAGTACAGGGTAAGTGAAAGGAGGATAGTGAGGAAAACATTTGGTGTTCCCAGAAAACGACATGGTGGGAGATATGAAGACGTTTAGAGAGAGGATCCCAACAGCGAAAGCCTTTATGTTCAATTCCATACCCAAGAAAGCAACAAAGACGAGAGCGAGGTTCAAGCTTGGTGTGTTCATGGGATTGAAGTAGAACAAAGCAGGCAGATCCAAAAACCCGGAGATTGGCGTAAGGAGGGGGAGTGCCATGTAGACGTTCAAAGGGAGTTTGATTATGGATGACAGGGGTAGGAGCACAGTTGATAGTGTAAACAGCAGTGAGGGCAGCTTCTCCCCAAAAGTTTTCAGGGCAGGAAGAAGAGAGAAGGAGAGCGCGAGTAGTGTCAAGAATATGCCTATGTTTCCGTTCAGCGCGGCCATTTTGCTGGGATGTGCCAGCACAGGAACGATGAGGCAATGTACCATGATGCTGAAGAAAGGAAAGGAAATCTGAATCCCGATATTCCATAGCATTGTCAGAGCGAAAAATTTTGATGGTTTTGGAGAATTGGGTGTGGACCATTTGTGCAAAACGATAATAAATGTGTTTCAATTCAGACCTATGTTTCATGAGAAAAAGCCAAGTAAACCGGGAAAAATCATCAATAAAAACAACAAAATAGCGGGATCCCCCCATAGTAGTAGTAGGGGAGGGCCCCCAAATATCGGAATGGATAAGATCAAAAGGTGTAAGGGAAACTGAAGTACTTTTATTAAATGATAAAGCAGGTTGTTTGGCCAGTTGACAGGGTATACAATCGAAATTATCGGGAATTACATGACCCAACTGTCCACTAGAAACCAAAGACCTTAAGCGATTAACAGAAATATGCCCTAAGCGACAATGCCAAAGATGAAAGGGAGATAATGAGGAAGGAGATGTAGGTGCAGCAATTTGAGGAGAGGCAGGAACATGAAGGTGAATGAGTTCATAGAGACGTCCATGCTTACGGCCGATCCCAATAGTCTGCCCTGTCTGAGGGTCCTGTACCAAACAATCAGTAGCAGAAAATGTGACAGTTAGACCAAGTTCACATAATTGACCAATGGAAATAAGGTTTAAGGTAAGAGCAGGGATATGATAAACGTGAGGTATGGATAAAGAAGAGGTGGAAACAGTACCAACATGACGAACAGACATGAGAGAACCATCAGCAGTATGTATTGAGGGAATATGAGGAGAGGAAGATAAGGAAGAAAAAATAGTAGAACTGGAGGTCATATGATTACAACAGGCAGAGTCAAAATACCAAGAAGAGTTACCTGGAATGACAGACAAAGCAGTAGGAGGAGGTGTACCAGATGGGGAGAGAAGCTGTTTGAGCATGGCCTCTACATCTGTTGGAGAAAAGCGAGGGGTAGATGGAGTAGGTGACTCAGAGAACCCGGCAGAGGTGGCAGTGTCAGTGTGATGAGACTGATTCCCGGAAGCAGCAGCAGCAGTGTGATGAGACTGAGACTGATTGCCGGAACGGTGAAAGTTTCCCCGGGAAGAGCCACCGCGAGAGGAGTGGCTATTGGAGGATGAGCGAGAGGGATTGCGAAAACAATCCTGTTGCAGATGGCCAGGACCAAGTTTGTTGCAGTAGCGGCAGGATCTGACGGGGCAATGGACCAGGAGATGGGTTGAAGGAAGGCCCCGATTCTGACAGTAGAGGCAAGCAGTAGTCCGCTGGGGAAATGATGGCCGGGACGGAGGAGTGGCAAGAACAGAGTCCACATGATGAGTTTGAAGAGTACCGAGACGAGTCTCCTCGGAGAGCAACTCAGAAATTGCTTGTTCAAGAGTGGGCAATGGATGGCGATGAAGCAGAGAGGCACGTACGGGCTCAAAAGATGAGGTAAGAGCCATGAGAAATTGCACCAACCTTTGCTGGTTGCGATGGATAGTAAATAAAACGGCATCTTCGGGGTCATGCCATGCTGGTTCGGAAAGAGCAAGCTGATCCCAAACAGAGTATATTTGCGAAAGGAAGTCATTAATGGACTGAGTGGATTCTTGGCGCATGCGGTGAAGTTGGCTCTGAAGTTGATATTGATGAGCAAGACCAGTAGTCTGGTAACGTTCTTTCAAAAAATCCCAGATGTCCTTTGCAGGAGTAGTGACAGAGTCAAGTTGAAAGCGGCCAAACTGAAGACTGATAGAGGTAACAGAAGTATTCCGAAACCAGGTAATGATTTGGTAATTCTTACTGTCCCATTCCTCAAGGCGATCTTCATATGTAGGAGTAGCAGGAGAAACAGTGGTTTCAGCAGTGTCTTTGACCGGTTGAGTCATGTCCCCGGAGATAATTCGCCAGAGCTTCTTTCCTTTGAGGAAGGAAGACATGGCTTGGGCCCATAGAACATAGTTGGATCCATCCAAAATAACGGAAATGGGATGAGAGGTATCAGGACGATCCATAATAATAGTTGAGTAGGGCTAAATTGATAGGGATAGATTTGTAGGAGCAAAATTAGGTAAAACAGAGTGCACCAGTGAGTCTGGAAGGTCGAAAATAGCTAGGAAAGGTGGGCTGCGTAGAGATGATGTCAGCAGGGTGAAAAATGATGTCAGCGGCGCACGTTAGCAGAGAGGGCGTGCGGCGCACGATAGCAGAGACAGCGTACGGCGCACGGTAGCAGAACGGCGCACGCGGGTGCACAATAGCGAAGCGGCGCACGCGCGGCTCACGGTAGCAGAATGGCGCACGTGGGTGCACGGTAGCAGGCGCGGCGCATGAAAGGGCAGGTGAAAGGCGCGTGAGGGCGCGTATGCGCGTGGAAACGGTAGCAGCGACGCGTCGAGCAAAAGAGCGGTGCGTGAGGGTGCGTGTGATGGTTTTTGGTGATGGGCTTGGTGCCGTTGGAATCGTAAGGAGACTCCGAGCAGTTTGGTGTAGTTCCACTGTGTACGGGACTAAGCACCAAAATTGAAGAATGCCAGAGTCTGTGCTCTGATACCATGAAAGTTAAAGACTCAAATGAAAGAGAGGAGAAGGACTGAAATGACAGTGATGTATAGTCAGTGTCTGTTGTTTTATATATATCATACAAGAGACTGAGCTCTCTCTATTTATAGAGAGGAGAAGGTGATCGAAAGTGTATATTACAATACATTAAACTATTGCTAAAGCTTTCTTGTGTGCTGGTGTGTGCTAGTGGGTGTGTGCTGGTGTGTGCTTTACAGTGTGATCCGAACATGTGATGCTAGTGGGTGTGTGCTGGTGTGTGCTTTACAGTGTGATGCTAGTGAGTGTGTGCTGGTGTGTGCTTTACAGTGTGTATTGTATTGTATACTTTAACAAATAAAAATAAAATGTTTGATGATAAAAATAAAGATTAAGCCTAGATCGAAAATATATATATTTTAATATATTATAAATAATTAATTAATTTAATAATGAGTATAAATCCTAAACCCAGCTCATTAATATTTTGGATTGAAAATTTTGGCTCAGCCCGATTCTATAGGCTAAAATGACATTCCCAATAACATTTCCAACAAAGAGATCCAAGTGGCGGTGTTTCAGCTGGGCTCCGTTAAGGCTCCTGGACCTGATGGGTATCCCGATTTTTTCTACCAGCAGTACTGGGCTGAGATTGGGACTGAAGTTTGTATGGCAGTCCCCAGCTTCTTCACGAGTGGTTTTCTGCCACAAGATTGGAATCACACCAATTTGGTCTTAATTCCGAAAACTAAAGCTCCGGAATCACTGTCGTACTTTAGACCAATTACCTTGTGTAATTTTACTCTTAAGATCATCACAAAAGTTTTGGCCAACCGACTGAAGTGTGTGCTTAATCAGATTATCTCCCCCAATCAATCCGCCGTTGTGCCTGGACGAACGATCCAAGATAACATTCTTGTTGCTCATGAAGCTTTTCACTCTCTAAAATTGCAAAAGAAGGGCAAACAATCGAATATAGCCGTCAAACTTGATTTCAACAAAGCCTATGATCGGGTTCAATGGAATTTTCTTCAAGCCTTATTGCAAAGGATGGGCTTCCATGAGAAATGAGTCAATTGGGTGATGCAATGTGTTTCTACGATTACGTTTGCGGTCTTCGCTAATGGAACTGAACGAACATCTTTTAGACCCTCTCGGGGACTCCGGCAAGGGGATCCTCTTTCCCCTTATTTATTCATTTTGGTGATTGAGGTGTTGTCTAAACTTCTCCACAAAAGCTTGAGGGCCTTGGAATTCTCGGGGATTCAACCTACACGAACATGCCCAACATTGTCACACTTGTTCTTTGCAGATGATGCTCTCTTATTCCTTCAAGCGAATGTTAACCAATGCCACAAAATCCTTAAAGTCTTGGATGTTTACAACACTGCCTCTGGTCAACGTATTAATTTTGGAAAATCTGGTATCCAATTTTCTCAAAATATTGGATTGGCTCTTAAACGTCAAATCTGCGATGTTATGAATATTGTCCAAGTCAAAGAAGGAGCTACATATCTCGGGCTGCCCACTTGTTGGGGGAGATCCAAAACAGAGGCCTATAACTTGATTGTGGAAAGGGTTCGTGAGAAACTTCAAGAATGGAAGCTTAAGTTATTATCCCATGCGGGCTGGGAAATTCTCATCAAATCGGTTACTCAATCTATCCTCACCTTTGCGATGGCTTGCTTCCTTTTTCCCAAGAAACTTTGTGCTGAATTGAATTCCTTGTTAAGTAATTTTTGGTGGAAAGGCGATCCGGAGAGTCGAGGCATCCATTGGGACTCGTGGGATACAATGTCCATGTCAAAGCTTAAGGGAGGGATGGATTTCCGGAATTTCAACTCATTTAACAAAGCATTGTTAGCTCGTCAGGGATGGCAGTTGTGTAAGTATCCTCACTCCTTGTGTGCTCAATTTCTCAAGGGCTTGTACTACCCACACTCCGATTTCTGGAATGCTCGAAAAGGTACTAAGGCATCGTGGGCTTGGGCAAGTATTTTAGAGGGCCGTGAGGTGTTAAATCGGGGGGTTCGATGGCAGGTTTGCAATGGGCAGTCCATTGATTTCTGGACTGATAAATGGGTTACTTCTTCTCCAAATTTCCATGTAAAATCTCGTCCTCCTGCTGGTTGCTCTGTATCCAAAGTGAATGAGGCTATCAATCCTAATACCAAAAGCTGGAACAAGGCTCTGTTGCATAGATTGGTTTCTTCGGAGGAGGCAGCTGGGATCTGTGCGACCCCCATCGCAATTGTTAACCAAGCTGATCGCTTAATTTGGCACCATGATTTGAGAGGCAATTTTTCAGTCAAGTCGGGTATCGAGCGGAATTCGAGCATCAACAGTCTCAAGCCGTAGTAAGGCGTCATCATCCTTCCAGGTTCCAGAGAATGTTTGGAAATTTGTGTGGGCACTCCCAATCCCTCCCAAACTTCGGCATTTTTGGTGGCGGGTTTGCAATAATCTCTTAGCTTCTAAAGCTAACCTCTATCGACGTAGATGTGCAACGGATGCATTATGCCCCATTTGCCATAAGGATACAGAATCTGTGGAGCATCTTTTATGTGGGTGTGAATGGACCCGAGCAGCCTGGTTTGGCAGCAGTTTATCCATTCCTTTTGCCGAAGGAACCATTGGCTCAATTCAACAATGGACTTGCGAGGTGTATCAGGCAATCAAAAACAAGCATGATAGAGTGGATTACGTGTGCAAGATGCTTTGGTTGGCATGGTACATTTGGAAGAACATGAACAACTTTGTTTTTAATCATCACCCCATTGATCCGGTGGCCACCATTTTTGCAGCCGAGAAAAGCTTCTGTGAATCAGCCAGTCACTTTATACATTCTCCTCATTCCCCAAGCTTATCCAGTCCTGCGAGAGATGCTCCCAGGGCGTGGTCTCCCCCGCTGCCAGGAAGGTTCAAAGCCAAATGTGATGTGGCAATTAAGCCCGACTCTTCGAGAGCATACATGGCTATTTTAATCCAAGATTCTAAAGGCTCTCTCATGGATGGGGTAGTCCGAATGGAGGAAGTGGGGTCAGTCATGCAAGGCGAAGCTATGGCAATCAAATGGGCATGCCTTTTGACCCGAGATCTCAACCTGTCTCAAGTGGAAATTGTTAGTGACAACAAAGAAGTTATTCGCTTATGCGTCTCTAAGGATGTTCCGCCTTGGAGTTGTGCTCCCATCATTGAGGACATTTGCAGCTTAGCTAACCAAGGGTAATGCTAGGGATACCAAATTTTCTACCAAACAAATGACCAAATATCTCACATGGGTGTGGGTTCCGCAATTTTGTGGGCCCCACACCCATGTGAGACATTTGGTTATTTATTTGGTAGAAAATTTGGGACCTCTAGCATTTTTCGCTAACCAATGTAATTTTTCTCTTTTGTGGGCGCCGCATATGGCTAACAAAGGAGCTCATTGGACTGCTAGGGCCTATCTCAAAGGAGTTCTTCCTTCTAATTGGGTGTGTAACCATCATGAAGGTCTTTGTAAGGCTTTAGCCTTGTCTTCTTAATATATTCGGTTGTTCAAAAAAAAAAAAAAAGAGTTCTAAAAAAATAAGGTTAGACCGGGTGGGCTAAACAAACTAACGGGACAATATCCATCCCAAGTGTTGTTGCACACAATCAGCGGTCCGTGTTGCAAATTGGATCATCTTAAAATGGTTTTGTTGTAATTCGATGGTTTATGTTTAATGTTACAACAAAACTATATCATTTTAGAGTATGTGATTTTAATATCAATATATTTTTATTTTAATTCAAATTGCTCATATAATTTGCTAAGAGCATATCTAACGTTTCATCTTTTGTTTCATTAAATTTAAATTGGATGAAAAACGTACAAAATTGATGCTCCAACATTAACATCAAATCAATATTAAATTGAGTATATCTCAAATTTTTCATCAAATTAAGGATGCTAGAATCTTTCACCAAATTATTGTAAACAAATGTTAGCTTTATAAGTGACTGTTAGACAATGCATGAGTACCGGATGTCTGACCGATTGTCCCCCAGTTGACCACCTCCTTGAAAAATTTGTTTTAGAATTTTGAAAAATTTACACTGGTCGGTTGATCGATCGACCAGACATCCCCCTAGTCATCTTCCTGATCGACCAGTAATTTGATGAAATCCTAGATCACTTCCATCGGAACGCGCGATATCAAATGAAATTTTTACTCGAATTTAATGAGAAAAAGAGTGAATGTTAGAGATACTCTAACACGTTGAGTTGTGACAAAAAGTAACAAAGAAAATAGACATTTTGAAATTATTTTAGGTTGGCAAAACCATACTAAAACGTTTGCTAAAAATAAACACAAAAAAAATTAATGCTAAAAAAATAATTTATTTGACATATTTTTAACTTTTTGACTTTTTAACATAAATAAGTTTGGCTAATTTGAACTTTTTGACAAATAATAATTTTGCCACGAGACTATATCTTATTTGGGTAAATCACCCCCAAGTTCTCTTTGAAAGAGTTGTACTCTATTTAATTTCAAATTTTTTTGAGTAGATCCAAATGTCTTACGTGTCTTCATTCTTCTTTTTATTTCTCTTTTTGATATCTGGCGACTGGCGACCACGCTTTCATTTTTCTCTTTCTCTTTTTGATATATAGTCACCGGCGATCAGCGACCACCATCGATTAGGGTTCACAGACAATCACTGACTATCAATTCTTTGTTTCGCCCTCACCGACAACAAAGAAGATGAGTATATTTATATAAATCTAATATAGATCTACTCCGATATATATTTGATCTAAGTAGATTTACATCAAATCCGGTTATATTTAAATCAAAAATAATTATCGGAGTACAATCATCTATCTATATTTGTCTCTCTCATTCGATCTCTCATTTTTTCTACTTTTTATCTGCTACACATTTTTCTTTTTATGTTTTAATGAAGAAAATTTTAAAATTCTGAATAAGTTTTCGAGTTTTAGTGATGAAAATTGTAAAATTTTTCAGTTTCAATTTTTTTGATACTAAAATTAATCATGCTTTAGAATTACAAAATTTTGTAGTTTCATAACATGCTTTTACTGTAAAATTTTGAAGTTTTATAACATGTTTTTCAATTTGATTAATAAGAATAAATACTTAATAGAATCATACTTTGAAATAGTAACAATTTTACAATTTCAAATATTGCTTTTCAGTTTGATCAATATTGAAAATTATTTGCTTAAACCCTATAAAAATTAAAAAAATAGCATATATTTTTTTCCATTGCTGCTATTTGTTGTTATTACGTTTTTTTTTCCTTTTAGTTTATCAATATTTAGCATATTTTGTTATGTTTTTCCGTTATAATTTCTCTGTTTATTTTTTTTCTAGCAAACTTCTAGATATTCTAGTGAGTCTCCGAGAATATTCTCAACTTCCAGCGAACGTTCTGAACATTCTGACAACTTCCAGTGATGTTTAGAACACTTCGACGATATTTTGACAAATTTCTAGCAATACTCTGGCGATTTCTCGATAATTTTGAATATTTTAAAGAGCCTTCAGTGACCGTCTAACTAAAGTCCTCCAATGATAAAATGTAACAACATCTTTAAAAAAAATTAAAAATATATTAGAGTAATTGATGCAGGCACGGGCCACGACAGGTGTATTCCAAAGGCTTCAGCCGAACCCACTGACTTTTACAATAACTTCATAGTATATATATACACAGTTAGGAGACATGCAAGTTTATTCCCTTTGAACCCTCTCAATTTTTTCTATTTGAATCTCCTATTTTAAACTCACCTTTATGTCTTTTAGTTTATATAGTTGTGTTTGGTTCAAAGATTTTGGGAAATGATTCAGAAAGAGAAAGAAAAAAAAGTAGGTAAAATATGAATAAAATATACTTATATTTCACCTAAACTAAACATCTATTTTCATACATATTTTCCCTTTCCCTATCACTTTTCCCAAATTCATGAACCAAACACAACCTAAAGGAAAGTAAACCAGGCCCAAAAGTCTGTATATTTATTATCTTTTTAAATTATACTTCATGTATCATTTTATATGCTAATATTATATTAATTTAATAAATTTCACTATTTGAATATATATATTACCATTGCAGTGATAACAATAAAATGATAGATAAAATAAAATATAAAAATGTTATAATCACGATCTTATAATTAGGAGAAAGATTTTTACAACTATCATTCAATGGGTATTAGTAAAAGTTCAAATAATGCAAAATATATATATAATTTTAATAATTTTTTCTTACAATTATATATATATATATATATATTTCATAATTTTTAATATATATTTTATATATATAGCAATGATCAATTAATTAGATTAGCTTAGTTGATTACACTTTTTTGTTTTATTTGATATTTTTTATTCAACCCACACTTGCACCTCTCACTTATGAGCCACTAGAGATATCAATTATTTCAATTCTTACCAAGGCCTCGTTTGGGAACAGGTTAATTTAGTAATTTTTTAACTATTTAGTTAAAATATGAGCTAAAAAAAATTAATATATTTAGGATGACTTTTTGACTTTTTACGAAAAGATGTGCAAAAAGTAGAGAGAAAAGAGAATCTTTGACTTTTTGGTATGAGTTGTTGACTTTTTGACTTTTTTAGTAACTTTTTGATTAAACCGATTACCTCCCAAACAAGGCCCAAGTCTAATTATTTATTTAAACTCATTAAACTTTTTTTTTTTCTAGAGTTGCCAGAATGTAAGTGTTTTGTTTTGAAATTAAATAAGTTTTGAATTTTGTATATGAAACCTACCGGTAAGTGCCCCTTATTATTTTTAATTAAATAGACATTCTTAACCAATAAATTGACCCTTCAACCTTGGGCCAAATAAAATCCTAGAACACCTTAGTAGTTTTTCCATTTTGCTATAGTAATGTAAACTCTTCTATTCCTAAGATCTATTAATTTGGATGTTTGTTTTATTTCATAGACAGTTTTATAAATTATTTAATTCAATTTTTGTATACGAACAAATAAATTAATTCGTGTAATCGCTAAAAGAAATGCCTAGCAAGTAAAATTTATTAATTCATGTATTTCAAAATTGTAAATCTTCTCATCATTTGACAAAGTTATTAGTTTCTTGTTTTCTGTTTACATAAAATAGAATATAAGATTTTATTTTAAAATTTTGTAGTCATCCAAAAAAATAAAAAAATTAAAAAAATAAATACACTATCTTGGTGTATATAAATGATTTGGAAACAAAAGTACATATTTAGTGAATTGCTAGAGATAGCAGCCAGATGTAGAGGTTGCCGAAAGTTGGCACAGTTTGTGATCGGAGTATCGCCAAAGGCAACGGGTGGTAACAACTCGCTCATCAAAGCTCACCACAAGCGGGCAAGAGGATCGCTGGTGATTAGTTGTTGTAGGTTGTAGAGGGGAGTAGAGAGTGAACTTGCTTTGAAAACAAGTAGAAACATCTTTTTTGTCATTTTCAAAAATTTGAAACTGTTTGGAAGGATTTTTAAATCATAATTTTACCCACACATTACAACATCATGTTTGGATAGAGTTTTTCAATTATAATTCCACAACAAACACAAAACTCTGCAAAAAACTCTGTATAAAGCGCGCAATTATCAAATTTTTTTTTTGTTTAAATTTGGCCTAACCGGTCTTCCCACCGGTTGTCCGGTTGCAATTTTTTTTTTTGACATGTTAATTTTTATATATTCGAAAAAAATATATTCCGAATTTTTAAAAAAAATTTATGTGCTTTAATTGAATTTTGAGTTGTATATTTAATTATGAGTTATAAGTTTTTGTATCAAATATCATATGGCACATCAAAAATTCCCCATTCAATTCAAAACTCTTTCACCAAACAAATTTTTCACACCCAAATCATAATTTCAAAACTCACAAATTCAAAATACAACTCTTACTTTCAAATCATATTTAGAAAGCTCTAGTAAACAAAACCTTAGTATCAATTCCTTTTTCTTTTCCTAAACAAAAACTATTCTTTTTCAATTTAAAAAAAAATGGAAACAAAATAATAAAAAAAAAAAGGGGTTTTTTTTTTAAGGTCCCTAGTATTATGATTTTATAGCATAAAGGACATCAAATATTTTTATAATGTCTAAGGTCCCTCAACAATATTTTCATAATGTCTAAGGTCCCTCAACCTTGATCCAGAGAAATTTCAGTCCAGCAGTCCAGAGAAAATTGGTCCAGAGAAAAT